AAACGCAAACGTGTACTTATACTTGTACATATAATTACATATACCGCAAAAACGAGCCGCTGTGCGTCTTATTCTCATTACTTCTCGGCAGCTGTTCCCTGGCGGAATAACCGGCTGTATTTAGATTTATCACTAAGCGAAACGTATCCGATGACATCCGAAAATTGCATCGTATGAAATTCATTGGAAGTGGTTATGCAAGTGTAGATTTATAACGAGTGTCGAGGCAGCCGGGCGCTGGTGGTGCGCTAGTGCGCCCGGATACCCGCTTTGTTACCGACGCGACGCGCGACGCCTGACGCATTACTTTTCTGCTTGTTAACTTTTGTACACAACTGGCGATAGCACCGTTACTGAAAATGGGATCATATTTTCTGCTCTGAAGCGTGTTTATTCTCTTTGCCAATAAAAACTAATGCTCATCCATTCCATTACTGTAATAGAAGCATTTCAATACATTTCAATATCTCGACACTCTATCAAATTTTTTGTGAATTACAGTTTGCTGAAATAACAATTCTATTGATATCCAGATATCTACCTCCATGAATATATTTCCTAGAAAGTGTATGCATGTAATAACGATTGCCATGAATCGTGATGGGCACATTAGCTTTTATATCTTTATTTATAATATCTATCAATTGTTCAAAGTTAGGTTTTCCATTTCCCACAACATATAGTATATAGCGATTATTATTATTGTCATCGGTGCGTGACGGGGCAGGCATGCGATTACACTGTAATGCAAGGGAGCGACGTCATTATGCGGCGTGAGTGTGTGTGTGTCAACTGTTCGCCAGAGAAGTATAATTGTGGTTGTTTCACAGAAACGATCAGCATGCGAATGGCTCCGCCAACAAAGGGTTTAACCACGTAGAGAGTAGAGCGCGCCGGTTCCTTCGGGCGGTGTCAATTTGGCGTCCGCGCCGCGGCCGCTGCTAGCCTAATTACTTCGAGGAATTGATGCAACGTGCGCTTCTCATTAGTTGCTCTCTTTGTCTCTTTATAAACCTAATCGTATCATCTTCCAAATGATGTCATCAAAGTCATAACTTGGAATGAGTTCGCCCTTTACTCACACACGCGTCCTCTGCATTATTACGGGTACCTATGATAATAAACACGTAACACGTCTGCTAGTGCCATTCATGAATTAACATTCCTTTACATGATCCATTCTTTACGACGTCGTCGGTTCCTTATTAATTGACATTTGTTACAAATTCTTAACAAGCTATTGATCGAAGGGATAAACATTAAACATTTATAGACGCGAGGTGTACGTTTGATGTTCAACATTGAACTATTTTAGAAGGATCAAACCCTGACCGAATTAAATACTTTATTCTTAAGCACCGATGTTTTTTGTGTATAAACACTGGTATTGTTTACAACTCCAAATTACAATGATCTTATTGGACCTAATTAAGAAGTATAATTAACTTACCTTCGAATTTGGTCAATTCGGAGTGGCATCCGCTTGTTAATAATAGTTGGTTGTAAAGATTACAAACAGTTCATTCACCTTTTAAATCATTAGTTATGTCTTTGACTAATTCTCAGTTTTTTGTTAAACAACTCTTAGTTGTAGTGACGTGATCGCGGACCCACAAAAAGCCGGATACATAGCTGTTATAAATAACAATGAGCATGCGCTTATCAGCTCTTTAAGAGGTGTCATTAAATCTAGCGCCGTCACAGCTCACGCAAATAACTTCATTTGGGATTTTCCTGAAGAAATATTGTAATTAATATGCAATTAAGTTTTCCATTCGTAGCTCTAAATTATTGAAACTAATTAAATTAAAAGATACTCAGATAGGAATCGAAATAAATACTCTCTTGCTTAGTGATAGTAAGAAACAGTAATTCAAAATTCTAGTTCATCATTACTTGGTTTTCTTATTTGGCCAATGTATCCGGTATCCATGATGGTAACTTTTGAAGCAGGCATCAATATTACATTACTGAGACTGGTTAAAAAGGTAGCTGCCTCTGATTGCATTTTGTGGTTACTGGTGTCGAGTTAAACATAGGTAGAATAAATTAATAGTAGGATAGTTTTTGTATCTTTTCGACTGGTCAATGTCAACCGTTTTTCGATATAATTAGTTTACGTACACAAAATTCATTGAGTCTCACTGTTTCATTGTCTTATTCTTTCAAGTAAGTACTTCTAGTTTCTATTCTTCATGTCAAAAATCATAACTTTGAAGGATTTGCCCATTTGCGGTATTGCCAATGTGAATGCATAACAATAGAAGATAATTTCATTACCTTACCCTTTATCCGACTTTTTCGCCATCGAATCTTGGATTAAATGACATTTTGTTACTAAAGCAGATCAAACACTTAATTGTAGGTACAGTTTGAAATGATCATACGTACAGGTTCAGTTTAACTAAAACTAGGCAACGTGTTAGTCTGTTCAGTGTTAAATACTATTTGTAATAATTTACTCCTCGATCGGCCAATTCATGCTAAAGGAAGTCTGAGAATTCATTTGAGAAGTTCCTGTTCAATTTGTGTGTGCATGTAGGTTGGGTTCATATAGCTATGTATTATTATCTCTTCGCAAGGAGGCTGCACGCGAATGATTTGTGGTGAGCGGTGAGGGAGTGCAACCCGACACACGGTCAAAGACCGGTTCGCGTTATTTCGGAAATATTCGGAGCTTTTTACAGGAGAGGCCGACGACGCGGCCGCGCCGGAGGATGACCTCATCGGGGATTTCTTTTTGTTTAAACCTTTTAAATAACGACGTTTTCCTGTTACACGACAGACAATATTAATTATAACGGATAATATCTATAGGGTATACTTTTATATACACATCTTGTAGTTAATACGCATACCAGAATGTCGATTGAACAAGCGGCGACCCGCAAATTCCAATAAAGTAGTTTCTGAAGAAGCGATCTAGTGTGGACCGCATGGTCACGCGTATTATCCACCACATTTGTCGAGACTCAGACTACAAACATATAAGAAAACAAAAAACGAGTGTTTTTATCGAACACTTGTGCTAATTAAATTAAACGATCTCCTGTCAGAATCGCTAGCGATGTCATAATGAGTATCATTACATTTGCGTTTTGCTCTTTTACGTGGGATACTTGTAATAATTGATGGATACTAATAGATGTACTTACAGAGTTAAGCTCTGTTTGCTACGTGCGACGCGGCACTGTGTGCCTGCAAGAAATGTGTCGATGTTCCGCCATAACTTAGGAAAGAGAGAGACTTATAGATCGCCAATATCTAAACGATGTAATTATATTAATTCGTACGTAAACATACATTATTAATTTATTTGATTTTATTGCAACAACAGTACCTACCTACATAGGCGGGCTTAATGCCGCCATTATCTTGATATTTACTATTTAGAACCTACATAGAAAATTGGGTACTTGTATCAATAAGATAAGTAGTGTTGGCCATTGTAATGACACTCCCAATTGGTATATTCTAAAATCCCTGAACCATTTTGATACATCGTCATAAACTCGCGTATTGTATCAAAGTAAGTACTTAATGCGTGCGTTGCGTGAGTCATTACTTTGAAAAAAGTTAAAAATATTCGCATCGTTCTCCCAGGGACACTGGAAAGTGGAATGAAGATTGTAAACATGCGCTCTTGATATGTTTTCTCGGAAATTGTCACGACTCTAGTGCAAATAATAGCTATGAACAACACCAACGGCAACGTGCGTACTTATGCATTAGCTTCATAATATTTGCTTTGCGTGTGTACTCGCAGAAAATACTTAAATTATGGGATTAAGATACGCTGATACTCGGCAATCTGCATGTGACTAGTGCAAACTTTCATGCTGCCCTTTGCTGTGTTCTATTAGCAGAGGATATTCACCAGATCACAGCTCACCGTCGCTTCTCAGAAACAATTCCACCGCGGCCTTGCGATGAAACATCGCTCAAATGTTTGTTTTCCTTTCAAACGATTCAAAAACGGCTCCCGCAAAATTTTACTGTTCACGGGAATCGGTAGCTCTACGCGACGTTTTGTTTGCACAAGCCCGCTTCGCTGAACAAATTACAGCTGTTTTATTTCGACTTAAAGCGAATGTCCAATTTTAAATATTTTAACATCGGCTGTTGGTCGCTCGCCGCGACATGATGTGTGGTGCGCGTGTATTTCAATTTGTCGCTGCTTCACATTTATCAATTTGCGGAATATTAGAGAGTTGTGATTTCTCCGTTGACGGGTGACTGCAATGCAGTATTTCGCAGAATCACTTAGCTGTCATCGGCGGCGGCTACATTACGCCACCACCCCGCTCCGCCGGAATGGCGCTCCATTACTCGTGTACTGGGAATTATTTCCTGCACGTAGTCGCTCACACGCCGGCTGATCTCGTCGCACACTCACAATAGCGCAGCAGACCGTGTATCTCACAAAACGATCATTTCACAGAACGCTATTAATTTCCTTGTTAAGTATAACATAACTCTGACACCACTTTACGATGTGGTTTTTCCATTGAGAACGAACAAACAAAAAAAACTGAAGTCCTCATGCGGATAAGTTCAAGACCCTCCAAACATGAGTACCTAAAGTATAAAAAACCTTGTATCTACGTACGTAGGACATGGTGATTGAAATGTTCGCGTGCAAAAGTCAACAAGGCTATTTCCTTTACTTTTTTCCGTAGTCCACCTTATCAACTAGAATAGTGAAGATAAGCTTAGCAAGCCTCGTCCTTTCTGCTAATTCGCTGTTCCTAAACATTTTTATGCTGATAAATTTTACCGTAACATGTAGTAACATGGTTTTACCATGTTAACTGGGGTTTTACCTTTTGACGTTACAAAACGTGTATCAATAACGAGAAATTGAACAAGCGCATCGTTCTTGTAACTGCTGCATCGTTTATGAACCATCCATTGTGGACTGAGTTACCAAGAATCTAGTCTGAAAATTCACCAGTGACTAAAATCACGAATATCTTAGTTAATTGTACATTTCTTGGCAGGTTCAAAGATGGAGTCGCGTACCCGTGGTCTGCGGGTGTATCCAACATGATCTTGTACCCAGAGGCAGCCAACCAGACGCTGTACGCGCGGCGAGCAACACGGGGCGACTCCGGCAACTACACCTGCAGACTGTCCAATGAGACTCACGTCGAGGCACACACTGTCAAACTTACCATCCTAGGTGAATATTATTTAAAATACATTTTATTAGTCTTGTTACTTAATTGTGATAAGGTTGGGCGGAGATGGGTCTATGATTTTCTTACAAAAAGCATTATTTCAGACACCATGTTACTAGAGAAAATTTCGCAATCTGTCATACATAGATAACTACTGATAATGTAACTCTGTAATTGCCTCAGTATTCGCATTTGCAGTAGAGAGCACGATTAACGAGGCAGCCTACTTATATTTTTAGCTCTTAAAAGTCCCATGTGACCTAATGTGACTATAGTAACTGTTTAAATTGAGTAATAAAACAAGGAAATGCCCCCTTGGCGAACCAGCGTTGCGGGAGGTCCAGCTATATATTATATCGAGTCATAAATATACACACATTTATATTATTGCAGTACCTATGCTTTATGATACGACGGCTGTAAACAGCCATCCCATAGCACTTCAGCTGAGCCAGAATAGATCGGCTTGATGCAAATGACTATGGTTATTAAAATTACGACTTACACATAACCTATAACTGTTATTGCACTCGTTTCAAATACATTAAGTGCGACCCGACATCTTTAGACATTTATTTAAAGTAAAATAACAGTTCATTATTGAGTAAGCAGACGGTTCCGTATAAGGAAAATATGTATCAGCTAACAATTGGATTCACAGAAAAACCGACGGACGCACCGAGAACAATGTTCATTTCGAAAGACCAGTGGGTGGAGGAGGGGGCCGAGTTACGACTGTACTGCGAAGCTCTCATCGGTAAGCACCATCTTGTTTAAAACACGGACGAAAAGAATTGGAGCGCCAAATACCAGGTGAAAGTGAACCACGTCACTTGAACCTTTTGTCCTTTATTTTTATACGATTGTAAGACAACCCATCTAGAGTGACCTCCGTTCCTAAGAGATCAAGCAGTTGCTGTGTAAGCAGAGGCATGGAAATTTAATAAAGGTTTCATTACCTTTGGTCCTGGAAACGAATATTCGATATTTTTTATATAAATTAATGCAATAGCATAATACAGCGTGATGTTAATGCACATTAATTAAATACTAATGTAGTTATTTTGTTGACAATCGTTCTACTAAATTGCTGAATTTCAATAAATCTATTGCAAAACGTTAGATATTATAACGTACTTCTTATTAATAGACTTTGTATTTCAATCACTGTATGATGAATGAATAACTCTTATTTATTTTCTCATAATACCCAATCTATAATAATGATGTAATCACGTACATATTTCTATAATAGGATAATCATAATTATATCATTTGTAGGACGGTCCCTGTTAGCCGACGCCCGTAGCGACCTCCGGTGGCGAAAAGTGTTTCCCAATAATACTGAGGGTGACTTGCTGCCCACGCAGACTGAAATCAAGACCACCCGGTGAGTACTTATGTTCAATATATTAATATTTACTCTCTAGCTACGTCCCGCGGTTCCGTCTGTGAACAGAGAAGTAAATACGAGCGTGGTAAGGACAGTGTGCTTTAAAACTACAACAGCGCCATCTACTAGGTACCTGTTATAGTAATAATGAGTAAAATGAAACAGTTTTTTAGTGGAAATAAAATAATAGCTACCTATAAAGTAGTGGAAAAAGGACAAACACACATTTTCATTAATAATATTGTTATGAATACGGAGGATTATAAATATTGATAGATTATACTTTGCAAAAGATAATTGAGCTTTGGAATTTTCTTCCCGTTTCTAAGTATTCCGTGTTGTTTACTTTTTGTTCAGTTTACTTTGAATTAGAACATCTCCTAAGGACCTTATGAAGAGTTTTCATGTCTCTGGAACTACCCTTATTTCGAATTCAGTTAAACAATGATTGTTGTTTCTAACTTTCATTGTTTCAATTATTATTTATTTAAGGGTAGAGAACTTTCTTTTGCTTTCGAATGAAATTGATCAGAGAAGCTTTTCTTAGTTTCATCGTATCAACAAGTTCACTGTAAATTAAATAACTATTTAGGTATGTTTTATACAACAGATATGAGAGTACATTCTTATTTCTTACTAAAGTATTCACAATAAATTGCATGCAACTTATTACCCAAGCACTTATAAAAGGTAATATAAAAATTTTAGCGTTTCTCATTTACGTGATGTTCATCATGATTGGTACTCGTATTAATAACATTGTGGAAAAGCAATAAAGAAACATTGAGTATCGAGTACCTAATTATGGAAGAATAAAGAACTTCGATAAATTCTTGTTAATAAGCGGAGTTATTTATCCAATAATTACGTCTATGGTACCGCCCACAGACAACGAACACTCAGAGGTCAGCCGCTGACCTTTCAAAATGGCGGTCTTTATTAATAAAATGGGAGAAAGACAATAAAAGGACATCTAATTATTTTAATTGCGGAAACCTTTCGCGTTTTCCCAGAAAGGTTTGAGGAATTTGTTTTCCCCGTAGGCGACTGTGATCGCCGCAAATGTAACAAATGATAAAGTTAGTGTCTACTTAGCGGCAAAGATATTAAGTTTTGGATTAATTAATTTTTTACTCTATTAACGTAATTAAGGCGACATTCCGCCTGTTTTGACCGATGATAATATTGTTAAATGGGGTTTAAGTCATTCTTTAACTGGTAGGGAGAGCAAATTTCTTCAATGAAGAAAGGCTTGCTACGATTAGATAGGATAAGAAGAGTATCATACAATAATTATTATTTATAACATTATATCAATAAATGTTCTTCTATTTCGAGTTTCAGCATAAGGTATCCATTACATTACAGAATGTATTCAAAATCGACCGTATCCTATTAATTTACCTATATTAAATTCTATAGTAATGTTGTATGTCAGTCAAGCTTTTACATTTAGACGATTAAACGAATTTTTGTAAACAGGTAAGCGAGATAGATGAATTTTCACAAGGAAAACAAAAAAAAAGCAAATTCATAATTCATAAACGACTAGTGCAGTAAATTCTTGATTGCTACCTATGTAAGAAATTGAAATTTCTTCGGAATTACAAATTCATTATTTGAAACAACGATGAGGAAAAATATCAGCAACTAAATTGAGTCGTCTGTTTTAAAATAAAACAGATCAAAAGCATTTCTCTATCAGCTAGAGTAGCCTGCAATCCAATTAGAGCAAAAACATACATAGTTCACTTATGAATTTAACAAATAACGTTTAATTGAATGAATGGTTTGCGAATAGCAGGCGCACTAGTGCATTGCGAATGTCAGGACTTGTGACAGCTCCGACAGGACTGACGGGCACCAATTAACGACACAAACAATGCTCGTAGTCACCAGTCACCACATATCGCGTTCACCTTGTCTATCTGTGTATCGAACTATCCGTCCACCTTTCATTCAATTATTCTTTTCCGCTTACTATTTTACTATGTGACTGACTTGGCAAATATGTACCTACTTTAGAAGTATGTAGTAGAAATAATAGTCCCTTTTCGTAATTTTCTTAAACTTACTATTCACCTGAAAGATCGTTGTTAGTTATTAACAAAATGGCCTCGTATTGTTTTATTATGTAATAGGTGTATTGTATAGATATTTGTTCACGTTGTTCGAATTCTGCTAATATTTTTCAAATAATAATGTAAAAGTTTGTTATATTGTACAATTGCATTAATTGCTGTAATTTGCACCTCTGCCTGTTATGTAAAAGTTTGTGAGTTTGTTTATATGTTTGTTAGTACTTGTAAATCTATAAATAAATCAATCACGCCGTAACAGCTGAAGGGATCGGGATTCATCCCTCCATTCAATATTACATAAGTTGAAATTGTTTCTATTCTGAAAATTGTTTATTGACGATTTCATGAACGTTACATTGTGAAAACAATACGAGTTAATATTTATTTTACCGATTGCAATTTTTCTCCAGGGAAATATGTAATATTTTTGTTATGAAATCGTAGCTAAGGAAATATTTACAGTCAATACCTATACCTAAGTGGAGGAAACTGATAGGAATTGTATAACAGCGATTCTCGGAACCATTAGTGCGTTATGTAACTGCAGTTTAACTTTATCTTCGGTACCCAACTACCTACTCTTGTCTACTAGAGAAAATATGGTAGTTGACAAGGTACAAAAATTAAAAATCTATTTAGTTAAAACGTAGTAAATCGTGACGTCCCACGATATTTCAAATCAATATATCGTCTAAAGTATTTAATTTTGTAAGAAAAGAAATACCTACGTGTGCTGTATGTTTTAAATTAATCTACCAGGACATTAAAATAAATATCAAGAAATCATTTTCACACATTTTGTATGAAGCGTTCTGTAAACCGTCTCTGACTAAATCTATACGCATGGATAAAGTTATTGAGAATAGCCGTTATTCGGCTATTGTAACCTCGTGCATTCAAACTTAATTCCATAAAACAATTAAATGTTTTTACTATAACAGTAAAGTTTCCCATATTGAGCCATTGTGTCCTGTGTCCAATAAGGAAGTGTAACGCTTGAATGTTGATTGCAGCGAGGATGTGTCTGACATCATCGGTTCCTACCTGACCGTGGACAGAGTGTCGGGACAGGACTACGGACCCTACGTGTGTGTCGTACACAGCAACGATGTCGTCTCCAAGAACTACGTCACTGTTCATTATATACGTAAGTACAATCTTTTTTTAAAGGATGGTTTTGATAGAGTAACGAAAGAATTATGCACAGCGGATATTAATGGGACCGTCGGTAGAGGGAGCCCTAAACAGACAAATACTGACTAGATTGGCGATATATTAAAGAAGGGCCAAATTAAAAGTGCCCTTAACCGACGAGCATGCATGAAAGACTGATGACTGTTGATGAAGCGAAAGAGGTATGTAAGAATCGAAGCAATTGGCGCTCCATAGTCTCTGCCTACCCCCATGGGAGACATGCCTGAGATCATAATTATATGTACTCTTTTTTTAATCATAGGTAAATTACTTCAAAATAGGAATTTCTCAATTAGACTTTTTGTTTTACTAGGTGTAATAATTTTGATGTTTATCGTTATGGGAATATTCCCATTTGAGTCCCTATACCTATTTTTGAGTATATATATACATACTATATATTTAAGGTTGAATATCGTTGGTACTTAATGTATGCTAGTTGCACTAGGTGCTACAATATGAACTCTATTGGTCAAATAGACTTAAGAGACTTCGGTTAGCCTCTGGTCAAAATAACGTATTAATTTTGGTCATCAAAATTGTCAGTCGTATCACATAGTCTTGTAATTTGTGCCCGTTTGTAACGATAGGTTCCTCTTTATAATCGGCGAACAATAGTTGTTGTGCACCTCTGCTTAATCATTTGAGGTTTAAATTACATACATGCATATAAGGAGTGTTCGTTTGTCGATATACATACTTCAATAATATTATTAAAATAAGGGCAAACAAACCGAAGCCCACATTTCCAGTGTTACTGAGAAAATGCTAAGTATTTGCAATTGGGAAAAACCCAATACTTTACCCGAACTTAGCATATCTTTAGCTGCGCAGACGCAATTGTTACCGCTTGTCCAGCGAGCCAGTATTATTTTTTGTGTGTTTAAGTGTAATAACACAAATATTACTCATACACTGCGATATATTTTTTAAGCTCTCCTAACTGCCTTGTTCAAAATTTCGTTATGGGGAAATCCATTGTCTCGGAAAATTCCGAAATTAATTTCCATGTCCTTATTATATAATGCGAACGTGTTTAATATGTATTTCGGGCTCTTATATAATGTATCGTAATTAATCTATCGCCTTGTTTACATGTTTTACTGACTGCCTTTTCCTATTTGTAATCTTTTATTAATCAATAAAATATAATTCTATTAATTTAGATTGGCTGTTATAGAAAATTGTCCGTGTTATATCAATGCTTATTTGTCCTGAAATTGACTTTTACTATTTTATTATTTATCGATATTATTTCTATTTCTTCTATTTCTTATTTGCTGTTTTCCGCAAGTTTTTTTACTACTTCTATGTTAGAATAGATTTTCAGTTCAATTTATGTTTCATGATTTCGTCGATGATGGATCGAGTTGACTTTTATTACTGACATAGGCACTATGTATCTACGTCAATGTAATACGTGACCAATGTGTGTGACCATTCATCCTCTTTTGTACCTAAACCTCATTTCATACTATTCATTAGTATATTCTACGAATATTTTTTTTCTCTTTAATCTAAGTAGGTAAATGCGCCGAAGTTTTTGGTTAGAAATTTTCTGTGGTCCACCACAAATACCGATTCGTCATCCCGCTGCCTTTATCCTCTACTTATTTAAAGTCCGAAGTGATCTTCATGTCTAATAATTTATACCTTTTCTTATTTACCGCTTTCTGTGGTTAACTGTATAAGAAACTTATTTATAAATGCGTCACAATAAAATTAATAATACGATTTTGTTGTTTATCTCCGTAACGACTTGACCGATTTCAATGGAATTGCCTTCAATGATAGCTCTTTATTTTATGGGCTTCGTTATATTCAAAACTGCTTCCAGTCAATACTTTACGATAGTGAAAGTATAATATTGATACTAAGTGATAATGAATATTAAAATGTTACTGAGTCCTGACTGTACAAAAGAACAGACTGCGTAGGTAGACAATGTGGACGTCTAGGCATTACATTGTCCGTCTAGTCAAAACATTGATACGTATAGGTATCTGAAGACAATACCTATCTTATTTTGTACCTACCTATACTTACTTTGAACTTAATCTTTTTGTTAAGTTAGTTGTAGAAGCCTCTCATTTGATTCTGTCAAACTGTGTCTAATTAAATTATTAGCAGGAACCTTACACAGTTTCAGAACTCTTAAATAATCTTATTTAATTGTAATAATTCAGTATGTTAGACAATAATATGGGGACTAAACAAGATACTTTATGTCACCGGTTTCTCTTCTTCAGATTTCATAAAATAAAATTACTAATACAAACATCGCTTTCAACAAATCTACAATTTATTTTGAGGTTTAATAGACCATTGTGATTCCTACTCCGGTATTCCCCCTGATCAAAGACTGGGTGCAATCTATATCAGATCAGCGTATAATCGCTAATCATTCTTTTTGTGTGCCACTTAGGCGTATCTAGTATTAACCGGTTATCTTAATAGTCCAAGCACGATCCTCGCTGTTTATTTTCCTGCCTAAATGTTCACGAGAAATTCGGCAACGTAACTATAAAAAATGTGCTTACGTCACTTTTATGGTGTATTTTCCGAAGGTTTGTTCTTATTGTTGGTTTTATTCCCAGGCTTGTTGTATGGACATTGATCGGTTATTAGTTTATTAATATAATCTGTGATGGACTATGGACTGGCATGCACTAGTTTCCTCTTGTAACTCGCAAAAGTTATTTCTAGGGCTTTGTAAAAAACCCATTGATCAGATTGATAAGGGCTTACTTGCCCTTACTTAATAGATCTTTGTTCAGCAGTAAGGTTCTCGAATGATGGTAATGATGAATATAGATCTTTTGTGAGGTTGAACTTAAATAAGTAGTCGCATTACCTACTTAATAAATAGTTAATTATTTCTATAATATGAAGGCCATTTATTTATATTATTTACTTCATTCTCACAGACGACACGACATGGTGCGGCAGTGGTAATGTACCGTGGCGGGCGCTAGCTCTAGGCGCAGCTGCGGGAGCCCTGGCGCTCCTGTCTGCGGCAGCTCTACACCGACGGTGCACGCCCAGGCTACTGCTGGCTGCTCGACATGCGCGGGCCAGGGCTCAACCCACGGCCCGGAGAGCACGAGGTCAGTATACTAAAGTTGAAGGCTGCTTTTATTTTGTTCTCTGAGCGTAATAGTGACATGATTTCGAAATGGGTAAAGGTATGACAAAACTCTCAATAACTTCAAAATAACGTCGAATAATATTCCATTCATGTGACCATTTTGATGTAGTTTTATGTAGATAGAAATAAGCCTTTTTCCGTCTAACAATGGTGACTAACCAGTGTTATTATCGTGCTAGATACCATCGGAAAACTCAAAGTAACTATTAAAATTAAACGTTACAATCCACGTACATTTATAATTACGCTTGCGTCATTCTGACAAATTATTAAACCTAGTCTATTTGAAATTCGTCGAAGTCGAAAAAAGCAGTCTCGCTCGAGTTAAAATTCTGAGTATTTCTTCAGCACGAATAGTTTTACATGATGTAGGTATCAACAGTAAATTGTAAATAGACATGTACGCGTTAGTTTAGTTGACAGGCAGGACGCAATGTTGTAACAAATCGCGCAAAAAATGCACAAAAAACTCTATAATCACAAGTCACAAGTGTGCATTTTGATCCTCGGGTCTTGTAATGTTTCTTATTTAATTTAGATGGAATATTTTCTAATCGAACGCTTGTTGTTTTTAAAACATGTTTCATTTTTCGATTTCGAGGAAAATATTTTTGGTTATTGGCAAAAAATGAGCGTCAGTAGTTCCTCGTTATAGTTCAGGGATACCTATATATATCCTATTACCTATTAGGATTTAAACTGACTTATTTTCATAATATATGTTATCGGGCAGTTAGGTAAACCATACCTACTAATATTAGATAATACTTTTAATTTATGTTTAGGAATTAGCACTATAGCTCATGACTCATACGTACGTACATATTACCTTATTTCCTTACATAAATAATTCAAAATAGGTAACTTCGCTTATATTTAAATTGATATTTATAAAAAATCCGTTATTTTTGCTTTCAGTTTTAGAGAAAGAGTTCGACGTGTTGGTTTGCTGGACAGCGGTGGACGGAGAGCTGGTTCGAGGGGCCTTACTGCCGACCCTCTCTCTCAAATACAAGTACAGGGTACACGCCGTGCCGCTCTCCACACAACCTGATACCTGTAAGTATTTATTTGCTACTTAGTTTGTATTAACACTTCAAATAAAACAGACGGGTCACCTGATGATAAGCAATCGGTGCCGCTCATGAACACTAGCGAAGTAGCGACACTAACACTACAAAAAGGCATGTGTATGTGTAATAAAGATGCATGTAGCATTAGTATACCTCTTCAAGAAACAAAAGGCTGTACAAAAAATAGATTTCCCATTTTAAGGTCGAATTTATGACGTCATGATGTATGGTTTGCATAGTGTTTCATACTATTTATTGTTCGGTTCTATTGTTATCATAAAAATGTTTATTCAAGTTACCAGTTAAAACCCCCACTTTTCGAAGGTCAAAATAACTTCTCGTACCACATTATAGTGTTTACTTGCGTTTAAGTACCACAAAAACTTGTAGCTAAGTGATCGCGAATTTTTCATAAACATTTTGTTTTTTATCGTCGCGAAATATCTACCAGGAATCGATTAATGAAAAAGTGGTTATGACATGTGGTGTAAATGTGTGGATACTATTGTTTACCTACACTATCATCTTGCAGAATTAATTGGTTAAGTTATTATTGTCATGTGTTTCTTCTAATGAAAGATTTTCATCAATTATTATAGTTATCGTAATATTTATTGGTTGTACAAAATTTACTTCTTTTGAAACGTTAACAAATATAAAATAAATAATAGTCTGTCAGTCTGTCCGTCACTGACGCTAGGTTCGTTAACTCGTTCCAAAAAGTAGATTCTAGTGGAGAAGAAAGAGCATGAAACTCCTTTCGTTATTCTTTATTTTTAAGTCCTTGTAAATTCCAAGAATGTGCTTATGAGCAAATTTTGGGTTATAAATAGAATTTAACCTATTTTACTATGTTCTCCAGGGTACAGTGAGCTGATAGGCGAGGCGTCCCGATGTCGCTCGCTAGTGGCGGTGCTGTCGCCCGCGCAACACTCCCCGCAACAACTGCTCACTGCACTGCGACAACTGCGCGAGCTGCCACTGCCGCCTGTCGTTGTACTACTACAGGTATGTACTTACCTTATTTTTCTTTATATTTTTTGTTAGTAAATTGTGTTCAGTATGTATTTGAATTATAATTGTAAAGTAAATAAACCACTTTATTAAACAATACTAGTACGAGTCAGATTTATGCACTAATAGTAAACATAATATTACCTCATTACTACAAAATTGCAGTCTGACTAATAGGACCTACTAATCAAATTCATTCTTCTCAAACAAATGCAGAAATATCTGAAAATACAAAGCAAGTCACTCGCGTGGGTAACAGTACAGTTTCTTAGAATATGCTTACTGAGATCATCATTTACGTTCGTAGGAAAATGAAGTAATGGAAAAAATGTTTCTCTATAATTACTACAAGCTATTAATACACCATGGTAGTCTCACATAGAGAAGCTTCATACGTAATAAGTTTTTATTAGCATGGCACATATCTCGTAGCAGATGTTACTTTCCTAGAACTGCCTCCGTTCATTTTTTCACGAGCTTGCCAAATGAGTTTCCTATTGACTTTAAAACGCTTTGAAATAACAAATATCACTTTACTATTGTTATTGTTGTAGGTTCTTAGAATTTGATGAACAAGGCGAACTATCGCTTTGATTAGGGGGCTTCAATTTATAATGCTTTTACGATATTAATAAAAGTATGAGGAATACCAGAATCATGTGACTTGTCATTCTATTCTACCCTGACGAAAGTCATATACTTGTATGCATATTGATGAAAATTGTTTTTGTTGCTAGGATCTGCCGAAACTAAAACGTGAGGCGAAGGAAGGCGGCGAGAGCCTCGTGTCGACGCTGCGCGGCACGCGTCTGGTGGCGTGGCGCCACGTGCACGAGCGCGCCTTCTGGACGGCGCTGCGCCTCGCGCTGCCGCTGCCGCCCGCGCCCGCACGAGATGTACGTACTCGTTACTGAGGTAACACTCCGCTCTACGTCTACACTGACCACTAGCCTTGCACCACTTCTGAACCTTCTACACACATTTGTTTACGTTGCATGATCAGCAGGATTTTAGTCACAGTTATGTTTTTGGTCATATACTGCACGACTAAAGTTCATGCGACTGTTCGTGTAACCTTTGCAACGTAAAAACACCCTATACATTTCTATATTTCGTTTTCTCATTTTATAAATATCCTTAATTCAAAATTGGTGCAAAACTATAGTTCAGTGTATTTTGCACCATTCGCGTTAATCGAGACAGGTTACTAACAGTTTTTCTAATTACAGACGAAACCAAATCCAGCTGAGACGGAGGAGAACAAATACTCTCGGTCGGGGAGCCTGACTGCGCTGGTGTAGAGTGCGAGTGAGTGAGTGACTGAGTGCCGGACACTCCCGCGACCCCGCACTGACAATTTATTCGTATGAAGACTGTGAGTAGTTATAGTTAATTGTAATATCCAATATCACATTACGGTAATTAGGATCTAAGTACATTTGAAACCTGTATACAGTTTTCTAAGATCTCAGTGTCTTTCCTTCGTCTGATTAATCTAACAACTTATTTTTCCGTATCTCACGTGCCAATGGAAAAGCTATCATGACAATTTATTTTAAGTTTGCGGTTGTATTCCACTATTTATTTTATTTATCTTTCGTATTTTGTTTGTATTTCTTCCTTCAAGTATTATTGCGGCGGCTGGACGCTGCGGTAGGTTGTGTCGTCAGCTGAGACGGCTCGTAGTGTAGAACAATAAAATGTTAATTTATCTTCTTATATAATTGTAGTAATTTATGTTGTTTGGAAACAGCGGAGTGTAGTGTTGCGATGGTTCAGGGTTCTGTGATATCGAAGTGAAGTGTGGCTATTGTAAAGAGGCGGTAGTTTATAAAAACCATGTGAAACCAAAACATTGTTTAGACTGTACAAGACGACGTAAGCTTGGTGTTTGTACACTGCTGGCTCTTTCTGATCTTGTTTTTTACATTTTTATTGTAGTGTATTGTTGTAAGTACTGCTGATGTAAATATTATTATAGAACGAGAGTATTTTTACATAATTTGTTTAGTTGTACGAGGAAGCTTAGCAGGTAAATGTAAACATTAGTATTATAGTTTAAACGATACATTCCGTAAATATATGATTATGTTTGTGTTAAGTTCTCTTAAACCGACGATGGAGTTTCGATGCGAAACTTCCTTCAATAAGAATCTATTTTCTTATCTGAAATGTTGTATGTAAATAAATAAAAACAAATGCTATTGATACGTAAAAACTGTTTTATTTATGTTGCAATAAACCAACAATATTAACAAGTTCTTACTTTACTTACATAACACGTTTAATGGCGTACGTTACGTTTCACTAATTCATCACATTCAAATTAAGGATAATAACGTTCAAAATAATAAAATAAAACCTACGTGATTTACAATAAAAGTTCTCAAAATTAAGCACTAATGTGTCGATACTTTAAGTACCTTAAGTATATAAGTTCACAAGGTTGATTTCGAAGTAAGTACAGAGCTCGCCACGTGTGACGTCATCAGTCCCTAACACTTACATTAAGTACAAGATCGCGTATACAGCACCTCGTAACTCATTGTTAAAGCTCGAAACGTTATTGGACCGTTAATTTGTTAAATTATCTATCTATGTATAATGGTATTCGAGATTACATTTGGCATTGTATGCAAACATGGTCACAAATAGTTCAGTGACCCGAACACACCTGTATGCAATTTGTTACAATCTAAAGTAAACTTGTAAATCTCACTTGTCGTTTATAAAAACATATTAGTAAACTAAGTAGTCACATAAAATTAAAACATACCCTTAAAAATATTTCACTTCATAAAAAATACCTAATACAGTTTGTGACGCTCAGTTAGTTCAACACTTCCAATTCTAAATAGCTCTCCACTAGAAACAACTTCATTGTAAAACATTTTAATCCAAGTGCTATCGAGTTATGTTACAATTAACTTGCAATTTGTAATAGCTCCGCACACTAACCGCTGCAATTACGGCATAATTCGTGAGGGGCCTTAAGTACATGTCGTAAAAAACGTTTCACGTTACTAATTACTGCAAATAGTCATACTCGGAATCATTTTTCATTAATAACTCGTTGAGAAATACCGTTATAAAAAGTCGAGTGCAGTTACAACTCATAATACCGTGAAATATTTGTGTATATTCGCGCGAGCCGGTGCAGTTATGCTGCGAGGCCGCGCCGCGCATTAGCCGTGGAAGTGTTGACTACAATATTTTACAAATTAAAAGTAATCATTTCACTTAATGGGAAATAACCGTGATGTTACATCGCATGCGCTCACCACGCACATCATCACCAGATCCTTTGTACAATATCTCGATTGTAGGAACAATTAATTCATAGCCTAGGATTAACGATTAACATTATCAATCAGAGGTACTCGCCGGTAGCTGCCCCATTTTAGACTCGTACGCCTGGAAAATGAATTAATACCTCATTAGTAAACTGGTCCCAAAAAGGGCATCCCATCTGTCATACATTCTCATTAATTAATAACAGTGGGGATAAAAACCGTGTAATGAGGAAAAAAAACATGTAATTACCTGTTTGGCGACTCTACTGAGTGTTTCAGCCATGCCGCGGCCGGTCTGGTCGACCATGCCGCGCAGGATACCGTCCGCGTTCTGTAGCAACATGTGCGGGTGATCGAACTCCACCATACGACCCGCGTCCATCACTAACACCTGTACATACAAATATTTATTACTATCGCAAGTATTTAATGTGAATGTGCAAAGTAACGTTATCCAAAAACGTTCAATAATTAGGAAAAACTTTGGAATTGAACTCAGTTAACATTTTACACGAATAACATAAAATGCCTATAAATATGCTAAATTCATTTTATTGATAAGTCACACATAGGAGGCATGCATTTTACCTTTGTAACCACTAAGAAGTATGTGCACTATATGTATAAAAGTTTCGTATTAAAATGGCAAATATTCTCACCTTGTCGGAATCCATGACGGTGTGTAGTCGATGGGCGATGGTGAGCACGGTGCATTCCGCGAATTTACTTCTTATTGTAGACTGTATGAGCGCGTCAGTCCTGGAATACAGAAAATATTTATGACTTTCCTTTACAGCTCTTTAATTCCAGTTATGTTATAAATTTATAATTGTCGCGTAGTCTAAATATGGGGGAATGTTAATTGTTTGCCGTTTAATTGCATAAAAAACTGTACTTGACTAAGAAAGGGTACTTATAAAATATTGATGCTCTTTTTGAGTTGTACATACCATTATTTTTTTTCATATTCGGTGGCTTGGTATGTCTTGAATGGTAAATCTATTACTGTACTCTAAACCTAAACCATGGTAGATAATAAACAAAATAATACTGTTTTTTATTTGATGGGCCGAAGTTTGACCTCTATTTTGACTTGTGGAAAGCGATGATGCGATCTACGATGGAGCAAGTCGACCCATAAGCAACCTATTCACTCGGGCCTTGAAGATACCCAGGTAATAATTATATTGCTCTTACTCAGACTAGAGTAAATTTAACACGGTTTAAAGAGAAATATTTGTCAATATATCTAAGAATATGGCAAATGCAAACAACTTCGTGTCACATAATAAGAGTATGTTATACTGACTGTGGGTCTACGTTGGCGGTGGCCTCGTCGAGCACGAGCAGCCTGTTCCTGCGCACGATGGCGCGCGCCAGGCACACGAGCTGTCGCTGGCCGACCGAGAAGTTCCCGCCGCCCTCCGACATACGCGACGACAGGCCCGCCGGCAGCTCCGTCACCGCTTCCTTTAACTCAACCTACAAAGTGGAATAGAAATGAAAGGTTGATTTTTAATTGGTGAATAAAAGCTTAGTAAAACATGGATCCAAACATAGTATGCAATTCCACAAACGTAGTATGCATGTGGTTATTAGTGTTAATTATTATGTATATTGTTTTAACATACCATATTGAATAAATAATAATGTAGATAAAATACAAAACAAAAGAACAAGACTAAAATAAAAATGAAACAAATAAAAAAAACATGTAGTTACCTCTTCGAGTGCCCTCCATAGTACTTGGTCCGGGTATTCATCGAATGGGTCGAGGTTGTGTCGCATGGTGCCGGAGAACAGTACGGGCTCCTGCGGTATGATGGACAGTTGGCTGCGGAGCTCGTGCAGACCTAGCTGGGACGTCTCGCGACCATCGATTATTATCTCGCCTTCTATCGTTGCTAACCTGGTGGGGAAATGTGATTGGTTTGACTATTAGAAAATTATAATAAACTTTATAATTGTAATGTAAAGCGTATGTATAATCGTATCAGAAATTGGACACAATGAAATTAACACAACTGCAGTTGTGGTTATTTATCAGATGTTCATAACTATAACGTACCTAAAGAGTGCATTGATAAGTGAAGATTTTCCTGCACCAGTACGTCCGACGATGCCGACTTTCTCCTTGGGCTGCACTACGAAGCTGAGATCATTAAGTACGGCCGGCTCCGACGGCGCGTAGTACAGGAACACATGTTTGAACTCTATGCGCCCCGCCTCCGGCCAAGATGGCGGCGGCTTCTTATCCGGCTCTGATTGGAGGGGAGGTTCCGATTCGATGTTCGAATATTCTTGTATTCTGAAAAGAAAAAAATAGCATGAAAACTAACCTGTAAACCAACCTCAATTTATCATCGCATGTTACATTCTGTATATTCAAACGAAATTACCTTTCCACACTGGTCATCTGATTCTCCAGCTCGGTGGATTGCCGCATGCCCCACTGGAACATTCCTGTCAGACCCATAGCTTGCGTGATGGCTAGACCCACGTTACCACCGTACTCGTCTGTAGGAAATAAATGAATTATATCTCAGGTACTCCAGTATTTTTTTTTTATATAACCTAGTCAAGGTTTCTCAAGTAAATGGTTCACATTATCAAAAAATGGATATCAGAGAATCAAAATTGCCAAAGCGATTATCCTTACTAATATTATAAATCTGAAAGTGAGTTTGTTTGTTTGTTTGTTTGTTCCACCTTCACGCCGTAACTACTAAACCGATTGCTTTGAAATTTTGCAGACGTAAAGTTAGAAGTCCAGATTAAATAATAGGGTACTTTTTATCCCGGAAAAATGTGATATTCCCGAGGGAAAACAAAAATATTAGTATAGATGGCGCTGTGTGTATTCCTGTAGATGGCGCTTTGTGCCATCTAAAACAATTCAAGTTTCAACGAATTACCTACTAAATGGAAATTTCACGCTTTAATCTATAGCGCTTATTTGGTGTTAATCTACACTTATTCAGTGCGTTTTTCGACTCATTTATTTGCTATTTTTTATGTAAAAATACTTAAAAAACACAACGTGGTAACGTTGTGTAGTAGTTACGCTACTTGGCGATAGATGCGCTGAGTGTTTATAAAACGGGGTAGCGTTGTGCTTTTAAAGTACTTTTATCGCTTTTAAATTTTGGTTTCTACCATTTTACATTGAATTGTGTATTTTATAGATTTTAGGTTGTTAAAGGTACATGAAATTGGTGTCTATGTAGTAGTTACGCTATTTTTTAAGTAATTTTCGCTTTTAAATTTTGGTTCTAACCATTTTACATTAAATTGCGTATTTTATAGATTTTAAGTTGTTAAAGGTACACAAAATTGGTGACTATGTAGTAGTTACGCTACTTGGCGATAGATGGCGCTGAGTGTTTATTATTATATATTCAACGGGGTAACGTTGTTTTTTAAGTATTTTTATCGGTTTTAAATTTTGATTCCTACCATTTTACATTGAATTGGGTATTTTATAGATTTTAGGTTGTTAAAGGTACACGAAATTGGTGTCTATGTGGTAGTTACGCTACTTGGCGATAGATGGCGCTGAGTGTTTATAAAACGGAATAGCGTTGTGTTTTTTAAGTATTCTTCGCTTTTAAATTTTGGTTCCAACCATTTTACATTAAGTTGCGTATTTTATAGATTTTAGATTGTTAAAGGTACACGAAACCATAGTGGCAACAATACTCAACAATTAGCAAATGTATTGTACGCTGTTGTTTCAACGCTCGATAGATGGCGTTAGGATCGAGTTAGATGGCGCTATGGTTTCGTTACCGGCGAAAGTATAGGTTCCGAGCTTCCGTATCAATTATATTTTAGGGTACGCATCTAGCGCTTATATTGATTATTATTTTTGATTAGTCAAGTGTTATTTTTTCTAGGTAGATATTTTAAGTACTATAGTGATTTTTTTCGTCGTTCTAAGACGCTGTGTTCATTGTTTACGTTGATTGATATAGATTATAGTAGCTATATTAGTTAGGTTAGATTAGTGAAGTGGTTTATTTCTAAGTAGATGTCTAAAGCAGTTAGGTTTTCGATAATAAAACGTATAATATAGTTTACCACTCAGTTTTGGTTTTTAGCATTGCAAATATAACCCTTATAGGAAATATATTAAATTAAAATGGGAGGAGGTATTTGTGGTAATGCGAAAATAACTTCTTCTGTTCTTTCACGCGGCTGAATCGATTTTGGTATAAAGGTAGTTTGAGTCCTGGAAAAGCAAGGCTTTACCGCGGCAGAACTTCTCATTCCCACGGAAAAATCTAAAACGCGCGTTATAACCGAATTCCACGCAAGCGAACAGCTGTTTGTTTGTTTGCCTGTCTTAAACGGCAAAACGGAGGTACTTAACGTGATTTTTCAACTGAAGGTAGTTGAAGGGATGGGTAGTCACATAGGCTACGTTTTATCTTTTTGTGACGCGAGCGAAGCCGCGGGTAAAAGCTAGTGGTTATATAGATCGCAGTTTCGCTTTGTAATTGTTTAGTAACTTACTTTGTCCAAAAACAAGGAAACTGAGCGTGACCATAGCGATGTAGACCACACACACGAGGTCCAACCAGAAACCGAAAGCTCTGGAGCTAGCAATGAAGAGGTACCTGAAATAAATACAAACTATTTAGTAGTCGCCCAAAGGTGAAGATTTCAATATTAGTATCTTAGTTTAGCTAAGTAAGGATTAGATCTTTGCTGTAATAATGTACTGATTTGTATCTTTAAAACTAAACATATAAATACGTATAATTTCACGACTTTATTTACTAACTACCATCCAGCAATAAATCGACCGTTAGTCGATAGTCCCGACCGATAGTCAAGTTAAAAAAAAAAGTAGTAAATGAGGTACAATTTAATATTAGACAGTCAAGCATATTAATAATATATAACATATGAACAAATAATACGATAATAGACTCACCAAGCCGAGCTGTGTAGATCCTGATGGTTGTCAAACTCGCGTATGAGTGCTTCCTGAGCCCCGAAGGCGCGGATAGTAGTGATACCTTGTAGCGACGCGTTCAGGTGAGAGAATACCGGACTGCGAGCTGTTGGGAGATAGCACTCACTGTATTATATTCATAGCTGATAGAATGTAGTTTTATTTCCCTTATATGTAATACATAAACGTGTGTGTAACATTCGAATTTTTCCAGTTGTTTAAGTTACCTATACAACTGGAAAAAATGAGTGTAAAAATTGAGTAATAATGAATAATTATGATGATGAAAGTGAAAAGAAAAAAATGACAAAATGCATACTACAGTGTAATTTCTACACGAAACTTTAGGACTGGTACAATTAATTGAGAATAAGTCTGAATAGAAAAAGTTATCCTCAATCCTCAAGTTCACCAACCAACTGGCTAGAAGAGATGATGATGCAATAGAGTGAATAAAGTGAATAAATGGTGTCAACAAAATGTGACATGAACAAACTAACCTAACTTCAATATGAGTCTAAAAGTCTATATCTAAATCTTTCTATATCTAAAGAAATGGTCGTAGATTAGTCTAAGTCTAAAGAAATGGTCGCATTATGCGTCAGAGATGACTCACTCACACCCTCGAGGCGCTTGATGCTGCGCGAGGAGGAGAGGTAGAATATCCTCAGCCCGTAGAACACGAACCCGATGGCCACCGTCGGCACCAACAGCCAGTAGTTCACTATGGCCACCACCACTACGATACCGATTAGAGAGAGACCGATCTGAAAGAAAAAGGGACATTTTAGTTTATAATACAGTTTGTCTCGATTGACAATATTATAGGTTAGCGAAGTACGGGGAAGGTAATTTCAACTGGATAAGATTGTATAGAAAAATCTAATATAACTTATACATATGGTATATACAATGGTTTTTCTAAAAATGTAACATTAACTCATCCAAATAAAGTTTTACAAAATTTTATTTTATTTCCGAAACAGTGATGAAAATAACGTTAATTCGATATCTGATAATTTATTAACAAAACAAAATATCTTGCAAGTACTTGTATCTTACAACTACAAGTACTAGTAAGATTAAAATAATATAAAAAAAATATACCTGCAAAACATCTAACAGCGCAGACGGTAGGACTTCATCAACGGCTCCCATGTCCTTGGAGAATCGGTTGAGGATCCGACCGGAGGGGTTGACGTGGAAGAACCGCATCGGGGCGCGTGTGATGGACGAGAACATGTTGTTGTGCAGCCGGGTCGACGCTCGCATCGCCATCGAGAAGAACATGAACGAACGGAGCAGTGATACCACTACTAGGGCTATCACCATGCCTGGGGAATAAAGTGTAAGTACATAGTAAAGTGGATGTTATTCTATAACGCACAGTTCGCAATATAATATGCACAGAGGACGCCGCGCGCCGTGCAGTTTATTTTTTTCTGAAATGAAAGGCAACACTTATCGTAGTTGCTCAGTGTTATCTATAAATAGCAATACCAGAGGCCAGAGGACAGTTTTTTAAATAGAAGTACGCTCTTTGACACGCTACGTGATACAGTTTGGAAATATCACTGCAATGCTATGTTTTAAAGAGAATTGTAAAACAGCATTGCATTGTATAGCATGCAGCAACATTGAAATATTGTAAAATGCTTACCAGTATAAATATAGATACAATCGTATCGACTGAGACCCGCAGAATCGTAATACGCGTTCTGCACGAGACTTTCAGTCAAGTTGTTCACCGAGCGTAGCGCCATTGTAGAGTTCAAGTTCGTTTCCTGTACGCTTGCCATATTCTGCACGGGGTGGGACTCTTCGAGATTCACCCTGTAATAAAAGTACGTGTTAATATTGTCGAGTCGAATCAGTCCTTCCAACCTGATTGCGGAGGAAGAGACTGTCAGACTCTTACTGAAGAAAAACCACCCGTGCAAACTTCTGCGTTGAGCTGAAGCCACAGTAACTTCTTACGCTTTTCCGCAACCCAATAATAACTACTTGGGTGTAATTTGTAGGTGAAATAAATGTCTTGAGAGGGTTAAGTTCAAAGATATGCATGCCAGAAACATGGCGCCTTATTTTCGCTGCCTTCCCCAATGGGGGACAAGTCCACCGATATGTGTGTATGTATGTAAAGTTCATATGACTTACCAGTAACTAGTCCACCAGTCGGAGGCCGAGCCGAGTAGCTGAGCGAGCGTGGCCACCATCAACATGAGTAGTACGAGCGCTCCGTTCCCGGCGGCGCGCAGGTAGGCGGCGTACACGCGCCCGCCCACCGCGCCCGCACTGCGCGTCTCCGCCTCGCCCGCCGGCGGCGCCGTCGCCGTCAGATTGTCTACTGAACTCACCTGCACGCACCAAAATAATACATTACATCATGAAGTCTATCAAAAGCATGAAAATATAAGAATAAGGTTTTCGTCCAAAATGTTTGCCGATTCTTTACGTGGGAGACCTATGCTTTCGAACGAATGAGCCGGCTCGATCGGAGTGACACCACGGCCTCACAGAAAACAGGCGTGAAACAAGGTTTGAATTGTGTTTTGTCGTGTGAATTCCCGGCTTCCTATTACCCGAGTCCCCAATGAAAATCCGAACAACCAAAAGGCCGACAACGCACTTCTAGCGCCTCTAGGCTTTCGGATATTCATGGTCGGCACCGATTGCTTACCATAAATAAAGTGATCTACTCATTTGTCGAGCTATAAGACAACAAAGTTTTGTACACCCTTTATTTGTACACGATAACAATAACAGTATCTTACCGAGTGTATGCTCATCTGTCGCTTACGGAAGCTGCCTTGTAATACAGACTCCGCGTCAGTTTCGGCCGCGTTCGGGTCCGGCGTCGGTTTCTCTTCCTCCTGGTCGCGAGCTAATAATGTTGCGAAGTCCAAACCAGAAGCACTCAATGTATCGAAGTTACCCGCCGCCGCTATCGTACCGTTTTTGAGGATTATTATCTGTTGAAAAAACATTAAAATATTTTAGTTTTCCGTTAGTAATTACGCAATTTTCAGTTAGTAATATGAAATTCTGGTCCATACTAGTCAATAAAAGTATAACCAATATTTAATTTAAGAAAAAATAATATTGAGTTAAAAACTGGCTTATAATATTAAGCTATACTCAGTTTAATTCAAAGAGGTCATTTTCTGAACAGAGATTAGTTTCAAGCAACACCAAGGCTCATAATCATAGTCATAATAAGATACGAGAATAAGAATATGGTGAGAAGATCACAGAACGTATTAAAAGCCTTTTCTTACCTGATCGACGTCTCTGAGGAACTGCAGTTGATGTGTGACGAGTATCCTTGTAGTGTTGCGAAGGTATCCAATGAGACAGGACTCGAACAAGTGTCGGCCCACGTGGGCGTCCACTGCTGATAGTGGGTCGTCCAGTAGGTAGATATCTGCTCGCTTGTACACTGCACGGGCCAGGGATATGCGGGCACGTTGTCCTGAGAACAAATAGAGATGAAAATATAATATTAATATTTATAATATCAAGATTAATAGAATAAAAGTTGTATGAGGAATTTATAGTGACAGTTAATGATTAAAGAAATGTTAACTGTATATTCTTTTGCCTAAGTCGATTTTACTATGATAAACCATCACAAATCTATATTGAGATGAAAATTAAACATTTTGTCGAACATATAATATAACCACCCCATATCTGGATTGCTGTTAAAAATGCACTTACTCAGCTTGTTTTTAAAGTGCATAATTATAAAATCTAAACATATATTTGCTTACCTCCACTGAGACTGACGCCCCTCTCACCGACGATGGTCTTGTCTCCGTGTGGGAAGAGGGCGAAGTCTCGATCGAGGGCGCAGCGCCGCACCACTGTGTTGTAGCGAGGACGGTCCATCGGTTGTCCAAACAAAATGTTCTGACGTACGCTGCCTGGGAAAATTATAAGATGTTACATGTTCTGATCCTATATTGTGACGAGAATATATACCTACTTATATATATTAAGAGAAATCTTTGGAGACGTATCTAATGAACTAAATGATTCTATGTAATAACAAAAAGCACACCAGACAAATGACTATTGGGTCCAGAAATCAGCTAGTAACATTCTTTTGTCCGACCACTGGCCTAACAAAAACCAAAAGTACTTGCAAATGCAGGTCTCGCAATAGATGTTTTTCAAAATGATTATACATATCGAATGTGCAGTTATATTAATTTCACTATTGAAACTCTATGAAAAAGTATTTACCTGCAAAGAGCCATGGTTCCTGGCTGGCGTAGGAGACGTCACCACCGACATGTACCGTGCCGGACAATAGAGGGAGCTCGCGTAGTAACACATGTAGCAAGGATGACTTCCCAGCGCCTACTGGACCGATCACCGCAATTATTCTGGAAAAGAATCGATTTGATTAAAATATCTTTTAATTTTCGCTATTGGAGTGTGAAAATGATTAACTTAAAACCAACAAACACTGCAACTTAAAATCCACACTATACCGTTCATGTTCTATAACGTATGATTACTTACTTGCCAGGTTTGATAGTGAGTGAGAGGTCAGTGAGTGTGTTCTCAGGGTGTGTGTCGATCCACTTGGCGGTGGCGTGCTTGAGGCGCACGCCCCGCGCGTCGTCCTCCACCCGCGCGCCCAGCTCGTGCTCGTCCTCCGAGCCTGCCTCTATTGGAGCCAGTGTCGCATTACCTGCCGCGGAATAGAGGTCGTTATTGCTTGATTCAATTTATTTAAAGACTAAAGACCATTACAGAATCAACTTGGATAGTTCTCGCTCATTATACATTCAGTCTAGACTTTAAAAGAGAGACAATGACCTCTGACAATGATATTCCTTCTTTAATAGTAATGAAAGCTCTCACCATTGCCCTTAGCCTCCTCTTCTTTCGTAGGTTCCGAACTTTCCGTGGTCTGCTTGGTCTCTGTATACTGTGCCTTCACTTTGTCTTCACCTTCAGCCTTGCGACGTTCCTTAGGTTTAGTAGATGTTTGTATCTCTGCTAAACCAGGGACCGGTTTACTTGTATCTTCGTATAGCATGAAGTTCTGAAGCCGCTTTATTGATATCGTTGCTTCTGCTACTTGTGCAATACCTGTTGAATTAAAATTATTATTAACGTTGACCTTTAATCGTAGTCAAAATTAAACCTTGAAACCTTATGTCAAAGTTTATTTTTGTAAATTCTGAATTTGGATTCAAGAATGCGGTAAACAGTATAGAAAGATGCAATTGCATAATGTATCATTGAGATATATTTTTTCAAGCAGATAAATCGCGATACTTTTCCAGTAATTTATTTGATATTGTTGTTAATTACACGTCGTCGGCTGTATAGCATAACAAAAAAGTGAAAATATACGCTACCGCACACAACATAGAGTAGCATTTTCTTCAACACACTACACAACCACTAAAAACATACTTAACCTACACAAACAGCTTACCTTGAGGGAAGAAAACGGTCATAGTCTGTCTTAATATGTTGTAGAAACTCGTGACGACGAAGACCTGCTTCGCACTGATCACATTGTAGGCCAGAACGTACGCGAGGATGGAACAGAACAGACAGATACGTGTAGTGAACATTATGAACGAAGTCAGCACTCCACGGATGTATGACGTCGCGCGGATCTGCTTTATTTCTCGTCTGGAAAGAAGATTATGTATTTTAGTGTTGAACGAGAGATAGAGAGTTAGTGTGGGAATGGACTTATGAGTGTAGAGATACATGGGGGATAAATATTACATCACACGAGGGTAGAGGAAAAAGCAATTTAAACTACAAAGTGGTTATTTTCAAAGTATAGTTCACACCTATAACAATTAATTTTGTACATTATTTAAAACAGAATGTCGAGCTTATTTTGCGTTTTCAAAACTTTTAGTACAAATAATTAGGTACAGGAATTATCCCAGTAGATTCCCGTTATTGAAATGTATGCACTTGTGGCGACGCATGCCACATGACGTCACAAGAATCCTACATCGCACATGCAAAGTTTACACGCGAATAAACACGGATAGAAAATCCCAACGAACAACTGTTGGGCAGAAAGCCCGCCAGGCACAATCACCTCGCCTGGTCGGAGGATCCTCCTTTTCCGATCTTAGGGAACTATACACTCTGTTCTCTAAAGTGGTGACCCCGACGTGATTGGAAACAACCTTCACTTCACGGAGCAGATCAGCACCGTCATCCGTATCGCCATCCCTCTCATTCATCACTTCTCCGCTGAGCGGTAATCAAGTCGCAGCCAACCAGCATCCTCGGCCTCATCAGGGACCACCATTACCTGCAACGAAGTTGTGCAGCCTGGTTCTTCCCTACGGCCTCACCAGCGTCTAGGCACAGCACTTCTGCACACGGTTCTGAAGGACACCTCCTCCTGTCAACGCAGATGCCGGCCACTACGCACCTACCCTCGCAGCATCTCTTCCCCGACTCACCGTGGGACTCTGCGAACGCATCTCTCCGACTCACTGGAGTTTCACCCTGCACCGCTGACCCGACTCACTGGGCACTCAGCGGCACGGTTCCGACCCACTGGAACTAGGGACGTTCTACACTGGCTCTGGCACCGCTCATCTCAAGCATCGACAGCAGTCTCAGCGGAATCGACCTCCGGTCTTGGGAGGGAGTGATGTGGCGACGCATGCCACATGACGTCACAAGAATCCTACATCGCACATGCAAAGTTTACACGCGAATAAACACGGATAGAAAATCCCAACGAACAACTGTTGGGCAGAAAGCCCGCCAGGCACAATCACCTCGCCTGGTCGGAGGATCCTCCTTTTCCGATCTTAGGGAACTATACACTCTGTTCCCTAAACACTAAAAACAAAGATTTACAAGGACACTTGTCATGAAAAGCTTATAGAAATTTAAAGAAACGAAACAAGAGGTCTAATTAACATAACAACACGATTATGAGGTTCTTAAAAGTTGAGTAATTTTGTTTCAATGACAACACGCCATGTTTTATGCTTATATACAAACAAAAGATTGACGCAGGGAGAGAATGAGATGTAGAATTAAAATGAATATTAACGCATAACAATATTTCTGACGGTTTGTTCAAGTGTGTTACCAAGAAATAATGATAAAATAGTTGTTCATCACTATATTCACTAAACTACTACAGAATGATTTATGAGGACAGTTTTGTGTATAATCTATTAAGGTATTCTGCAAATAGGAAGAATTGAGGCCAAAAAAATAATAATTTAACGATGAGATATCCCATTGATCGATAAATTCAATCCCTTTCTTAGAAGTTGGTTTTGAGATCACACCTATATTGATTTGTTACAACTGTTACTTTGGCCTGTACAACAGTGTATGCTAGAATGTATGATATATTATGTGAGTAATACTTACTTCCTAGCCTTGGCGACAAGGTCAGCAAATGGCTTTTCCCAAGTGTACATTTTGATGACCTGAATACCGGACAATATTTCGTTCATGAGCCGCACGCGCTCGTCCGTCCGAAGCGCTGTTTTCAGTCGCAGTACTGACGTGCGTTTCCCCAAATATGCTGTCAAAGAAAACATATTAATTAATAAATAACCATTTAATACTAACTACCAGCGGCTGGTAGAAGATGGATCTAAAAAGTAGCCTATAGTATATTTATTCTAAACCTTATCTCTGTACAAATGGGGTCAGATTAGTTCAGCATTTTTTGCATGAAAGAGTAACAAACAAACATAGATACATCATCACAAACTTTCGCATTTATATAGGGTGTAAATGGAACGCTCCTGAAAAACACCGACAAAAGACGGTTAAAAACGAGTTTTATATTCATAAAAGTAAGGTATTAATTGTTTCTTACATGAATAACACGGAAATAAAAACAATTAAAATTGTAAAAACCATTTCTTTTTTGTCAGCGTCTCGAGAGCGTTTCTTTTACATTCTGTAATATTAGTAAGATTTGTAGTTATATAAAGTGTAATATAGTACGATAGAATATGATCAATTTTCATCAGCAACATTTTAAGATCACCTTGAGACCTTCATTCAATGTTTTCTGCAATTAACAAACTGACAGACAATTCAATTGTAATAAACGCTTTCAGATTAACTGTGATCTTTACTGCCTTGTTTGTTAAGCGGTTGTCAACAAAAGTATTGTATTGTTTGTTTTTTGTCCATCCGACAATTGTTATCCGATCATTTTGTGGGGTATAGTTTTTATCACACTATTAAAGTTAGAATTATTATACTAGGGATATTATTTATCTTTTTATAGGTAATGTTATATGTATAGGCATTATAAGTTTTGTTGTTCTCGGTAGCACCAGAGCCAACTGATAGTAAATTAGTTAGCCGTCACCGTAGCTTTAATACACCTACATCATTTGAGTCTAGAGGCATCACAAAAGAGTCACCGACTTGCCGGCGTACACTGATTAATCAAGCCACCCTTTTAGTCGTTACCCCCGAAAACGATAGCGGGGTCAAATGTGAAGGGCATCCAGAAGACCCATCTAGAGCCAGAACTTAAGCTCTGCCACCGTTAAAGTAATGAGTATAGAAATAATATCTTAATATTGTCATTTCATGGTATACTAGACACAGACGAACAGAGAATCCGAACGCCACATTCGTCACAAACAAAAATAGACTTAATTTATGATATATGCAAATGTTATTCATTCAAGCTAAGGGTGATAAAGCAATTTTATAGTCTGCTATACAATGGTACCAGGATAGTGACGCAGAGGAAGCCTAAATATGGCCGCCGTCGCAAGGCCAATTTTAAGAAATAATTGTCACTATGTGCCAAGTCTGGTTACATTTAGGATATCTGTGTGGGAGGTCTGCCGGAACCTTATTTAAAAAGAGGAAATATGTTTTAGATTGTATATTCATGAACTAGTCGTGGTGGCCCGGAGGTTTAAGGCGCCCGCTTCTCATGCATGAGGGTTCGAAACCTACTAACGGCAAGAACCAATGTGACTTTTTCCGAGTTATATGTACTTTCTAAGATTATCTAGACACCACCGACAAACGGTGAAGGAAAATATCGCGAGGAAACCTAAGCTTATAATATCTGATTATAAGTTTGAAATCGCCAACCCGCACTGAGCAAGCGTGGTGATTAATGCTCGAATCTTCTCCATGTGAGAAGAGGCTTTTGCTCAGCAGTGGGCATTTCTAGGCTGTTGATGATGATTCATGAACTAGAGAACCAGGTTCCTTTGTACTCCTACAAGTTGTACAGGAACTTTTTCTAAATAAAGCAAAAAAACATAACATCATAACATCACGCCTTTTTATCCCCGAAGGGGTAGGCAGAGGTGCACATTTCGGCACTTAATGCCACTGTACAATGTAACACTCACTTTTCACTATTTATGTTATGAGTCCCATGTAATAGGGGGTGAGCCTATTGCCAAAATAAAAAAAGTATAAATAATATATGATAAAGCAAAAAAGTAGAAAGAAAATAATATATGAAATCAACAGGAAAATTATGGGGAAGTTCCTCGTAGGAAATGTTCTATTAAAAGTTAGTATCTTTTTAATTAATAAAAATACTGTTCATAGATTTCCGTGTTTAATTTTATTTGTTACTATTGATAGTCGATGCTTAAGGAGAAGCTCTATTACCAAGAGAACCAACAAAAGGACACAAAACAAACGTGACCTATTTGTTTTGGTCACGCGCATGTCAAACGATTATGAATTTTATTCCTTCGCTTTTACGGTCGTAATAAAAAATCGTATAATTCTCTCGTTACCATAACCGAAGGACTTTGCATTATGGGAGTTATACAGAGTAATTTGAATGTGGAAAATTGTTTACTCACTTTGGGCAAGAATATTGGTCAACTAATTAGTGTAATAGTGTTTTACTTGGAAAAATAATACCTTTTATTATTCTGGTAATGCATGGTAATATACTCGTGCTGTACCTTAACGGTTCCAATGTCATTATTAAAAATGTCTACTTAAACCTTTTTTGTTTTCAATGATGAGGAGTACGTGTGTAGTCAAATTTAGTGATCGAGTGAAAAATAGTGTTATTAGAGAAAGGTGTGGATTGAAAGGTGATGTAGTGACAAGGATTGAAAAGTGAATGTTACGCTGGTTTGGACATGTAGAAAGGATGGATGAATGTAGAGTAACAAAAGAAGTATACAGAGCGGATATGAATGGGGCCATTCGTAGAGGACGTCCTAGACGGACATATACTGACCAGATTGGCGATATATTAAAGAACGGCCAAATTAAAAGTACCCTTAACCGGCGAGCATGCATGAAAAGATTGATGACTATTGATGAAGCGAAAGAGGTATGTATGAATCGTAGTAATTGGCGTTCTATAGTTTCTGCCTACTGCCTACCCTCCATGGGAGACAGGCGTGAAGTTATGTATGTATGTATGTTTTCAATGATTTGTTTTTTAAAACTGTGGTCGTATATGTTATGACTTTATGAGTAACTTAAATGCTAACGCCTTATGTTTAGCTCATAGTTTTCAACATAGCCCTGTAGTGTGATGGTATGGCGACAATAGTAACATTTATTAGAAAATAGGAAACTTAGATTTTATATGTAAAATGTGCTAGCAGCTAACAATAGTTTTGTAGTATATTAGCTGCGACATCATTCAACCTTGTAATCAAGACTATTTTTAAAAATCTATCGACTATCGCGACCATTCTAACGAACAACAAGTACAAGTTTATTTAAATTTTAATTAATCAACAAGTCAGCACGTGTGTAACATAATTATAATATTTATTTCGAATTAGGAAAACCGATTAATATCTATAGTTAAACATTAAAAAACCACCGAAATCAAACCTAATGATTTAAAGTTTACAGTTGATTTTTATTTACAAAACTAATAATTGTTTATAATAAATTAGATAATTCGCAACTAGAACACGGTCGTAATTAAAAAAAAACATCTTAAAAAATCTAAGCAGTTGGGTTAGGAATGTAAATAAACGCTACTGAAAGTTTATTCAATTTGACCTACTTTTAATGAAGTTTGCGCGTGGTCAAACGTCAAACACATGTACACACCGCCCAACAGATCTTGACACTTGTGACGTCACGTCACTACTCACGTTGTAGTACAAAAATTAGATGTCCTACGTCATACACATTCACACCTTTTAGTTTCGTAACAAGTCTTTGGTATTATGAAACTATGTTACTATACGTTTTTAAAATAACTATCGTCAAACATGGTGAATTAACTAAAAAATAGGAGTTTTCACGTAAATATACTGAAAAAGTTCTACTAGTAGACTATACGCGACGGCACACGCTGTTCACGAGGATGAGTCCCTCTGTGACTCGAAACTAGTAGAGCTTCTTTCAGTAAAGTATTTTTATTGTATCGAAAAACGCTATGACAAACTATCTTTTAAACACAAGTATCAAAACAAGCTTATGATGTGTTGTACTTATTCTTACTTATTAAACATTTCACAATACGTATAATATCGTGCCTTAATTAAATGTAAGGCGTACTTACACAAACTATTCGAGTAAATGTCTACTAGTTTAATGTCACACCGGGGTTTATATTAGAGCCGTTCATTAAAATTAGAATATTAAAATATTTTACCTTGTAAAGGTATGAATGCCAACATGAATCCAACGCCGACCACTGCTGCCCAGCTGATTTCAACCCACATAAAGTAAGTGATAATGACAGTAGCCAGCGGCCCAATCCACAGATAATGTAAGAAGATGATGGCCACGTCGAATCTGTTCACATCGTTTGAAAGGAGGTTCACTACTTGGCCCACTGTCGTCTCACCAAGCGCCGTTTTTGATAGCCGTAGTGACTGTAATAGAAAAAGGGGTTTTCAATAAAAAAGTATTCCACGTTTTGGGTTTCGAATTGTTACGTAGATTTGAATAGAATAAAAAGTGTAGGGTTTAGGGCCTCTTTCACGATGTCTGGATAGCCAACACATATCAGATAAAGAATTGAAAACGTAATTTGTATGAACTATATATGTCACATAAGTTTATCGGGTATTTTTTTTAGATGCGAAGGTTGTGGAAACAGACAGGGGCTTTTTTTCAGATGCGACAGGTAGATTCTGTATTTAAATTCATTAATAAAACAAACGATATGTATAACTACCTACTTAACACAATTGTTAGATGCAAATGAAAAAATAAATTTATTACGCCCTGTATAGGGTATTCCGAGGTATTGTCGACAAACAAATTAAAAAATATGATAGGTAGGTATAAAGCGAAACTATTCAAAAAATATTGTCTTAAAAAAGAAATCTTTGAATTCAAAGGTGCGTTAACTGTTATGAAGCACCAATACGTTTAGTGAATTCAATTATTAAATAGAAATACAATATGTAATGTATGTATTATAATTTATCTATATTTTTAATATAAAAAGGTAAAACATTTTACAAAGCTCAAGAAAAACTGAAAAACGCACATAAACACGATAATTAAAGCATTTTTTTCTTTTTCTTTGCTAATATATTGTAAAGAATAAAACAAAGTATTGTATGAAGTGAGTTAATGTCAAGGTGATAAAAATTTAGATGTTTAGCGAACCGCAAAGATTCTCAAGGTGAATATCTCCCATGTTTAACTCAAACTATTTTAGTCCGTTATGCGACTCTGGTGTAACTAAGGAACCTCTAGGTAAATGTATTTAGTTTATATTCATACGCTTACTATATTCCTGAGAAATTCTCTAAAATAAATCGCTATAACATAATAAAGGCTAAGGTTCAAAGAAATAACCTGTCTATGGGACCCCAACGTGGCTTGAAACTTGTCGAGTCACCTCGTAAACCGTTAACAACAAAATCTTTAGGATTTCGAAGGCAAGAAGTCGACACTCAACCGACGAACTGTTTTGTTTGCAAGTTTTTTTTTTAATATTATCTAGATATTAAGTGTAAATTGAAAATAATGGTTTATTGTTTCATTGTTCTAAGGTTTAATAGATAATTAGGTCAATAAAGTTCATCTTTGATTGAGGAAATAACTTTAATTACAGTAATTAGTTATACATTTATTTATTACCCGACTGTAGTGAATCAAAAAGATTGATTAAGATTCTGATCGGTAGTTGATATTTATACATTTTAACTCATCTGTCACCGCTAAGTTTAAGACAGTAAAACTCCATGTAGTTTGAATATCTTTTAAAATAATTTTAGTAAGATATCTAATTACTATTGAATCGTAGACAATAATGTAAAATTAATTACATTACGAGGTTTATTGGCCATGTAAAATCGATGTTAAACCGTAACCTTGTAATTTGAATAATGGAAGGTTCACAATAAAAGTACCATTTATAATTTATTTTCGAAATTATTCTGTAATGGAGTCTCTTTATTGCACTCCGAGTAATTCAGTTTATAACATACCTAAGTTTGTTTTATAATAACTATCGTTAGACATACTAAATTAACTAAGAATCGCGGGTTACTCACGTCAATATATTGAGTATAGAGCTTTTCTCAGTATATTCACGTGAGTGACCCGCGATTCTTAGTTAAAAGTTTATAACATAAAGGGTGTGCGAGTGTCCTTACATAAGTAAGGACACCTTCAGGATGTGCCTAACTCTTCGGGATATACCAGGACCGACTAACATACTGCACTATAAGTAGGTAAATTGCCTTTATAGATTCTTCGTAGCCGAATGAATTCGGTCAACCTAATTGACATTTAAGAACAATTTATTGTCATAACAACATCTGTTAACAGTGGGTGGTCTGTGACATTTTGATGTGTGCGTGTGTGTTGTAATCTGTCGTGTCAAAACACTACTTATTAACTAGAAAAAATATGTATTAGGTAGCTATACGGTCATAATGAAAAATATACAACAAAATATATGTAAATAACGGATAAAACACACGAAACGTTGCTAAACTTACTAATTGGGTGCTTGTGATCTAGTAAGATCCAATACTTCGAACTTTCGAACTGTCAAAAACTACAGTTTTCTATGAATTTTGAACGAGATTGTATATTGTAATGTAACGTTTTTTTAGCGTCAAACAGCATACTAATTTCTTAAAAATTTGCTAGTAAAATACTAAAATTAAGTTGGTCATAAAATCAACCAACGAAAGTGCGATTATTTTTTAACGTTTCATTGTATTGGACAGTCGAAATAGTTTATTTTTGATTAAGGAAAGTACCCAATTCGCTAACACGTGTAATGTAAGACAATGCATAGCGCGGCGAAGAAAGGAATCATCTATTTTTTTTTTAAATTGGAATTAGTAGGTACTGGAAATATTTGGATAAATGGCTGGTCAAATAATAAACTGCGTAAATATCATACCTTTCTGTATATAAGTGAGCAGCAGGCGACACGGAATTTCATGCCCATGTGCAATATGGCCATCATGTAGGGATGCACGACGAACACGTTGAGCGCTGAGCACGCCACCACCGCGGCCGCATACATGTACGCTTCCTTCGGCTTCATCGAGTGTCCAGGACTGTAGAACTCCACCAGCTTACCCAGGAACACTGGCTGTGCAATCCTGGTTTTGTAATCACATTGTATTTATAATTAATTAAGTTGATTTAGAGTATAATTTTGGTTAATCATCATATTTTATTTAAGACACTGACGATTTCCTTAGTTATACAATTTTCGAGGCACTCGCAAGTATGTAGGTAATGCAATGTATAAAATGCAGACATGCACATTTTCCCGTATAGGTAAACATTGTTTCCGTAAACAATGGAAAAAAATAAAAGTAACATATTCTTATCTACTTGGGATGCAGCAAAATCTTTGTATAATGAATGTAAATATGCCGTGCACACTATTTATTTACTTACAACATTCTCACGGTGCCTTAAGTAAATTGTTTGAAATTCTAGTCATAATTTAGTGTCTTCGTCTCAAAAAAACTAGACGAATCTAATTACTGAATCAGATAAGTCAGTCAATGTGTCATTGAGATAAGATTAATCTCCTTCTCACTTAATTATCTACATATTTCACTAATCTATAGGAAGTGATGCTATGGAAAAATATATTTTTCACGTCATGCAAAAATAGGCTTAACAAGGATTATTTTGGCTAAGCACCTAAAATAAAAATATATTTCAAGAAACTTCCACCAGTGCCTTCCTCTGTGTCACTCGAATAAAAGTGATCTATGGGTTCCTAATTTAATCTACCTCTAATCTCTGTGCACACTTTAATCCAGACCCGTTTTTATATGACCTTTCATAATCACATAATTAGTACCTAGTTACCTACCTACTGTAATATGTTTGAATTGTCTACCGAGTACTAGTATTGTCTACCAAGTTATCAAAATCAAACAATTTCTGACGAATTACAATAATTAACAAAGTGGATTTCCCCTACAGATATGTATTTACTTGTGTTACACCACTTAGATTTGTTTGTATGAAAACTGACGATACTAGTAATTCTACTTGCCTCATATCGATAAGGAAAATGACAATTATTATACCTATTTTTATCCGTAAAAAAACCAGGTAAAATACTTATCCATTAAGTTTTCCCATCTCTATCCTAAGGGCGTGTATAACCATTGCAATTAAAAAGAAACTGCAAATAGCTAGAGCAGACTTAAAATTAAATACAAAAATATATTTGTACATAGTCTAACTCAAAGAAGTACTACAGTAAAAAAGACGCCCCGAACTCTGAATACCATTCAATTGAAACGCTAAAAAACTTACTACTTCATGGAAAAATACTTGAACACTAAAATTTTTGCGCTACATGTAATAACTAAAGCTACATATTTTATACCTCTACTTAAAACTACGGATTCTTTGCTGTATCGAAAGATAATACAAATAAAAGAAAATCAAGTTCAATGTACTTATCTATAGTACAGACAGCATACCAAGCTAACCTATGTGCGAAACTTCTTCAACGAGTTTGACATAAAAGTAAAAAAAATAGCACTCTAGAGTTAGCTTGATGCAATGAAATCTGTAGATATCTACAAGTCATAAATCTACGAAAAATCCATAGTGGATCTACTAGAGCTCAGCTCGAGGTCTACTTCAGCTCACTTGTCAGTGCTATTGAAATCGTTGGCCACCTGATCGCGTAATGCAGTCAGCCGAAAGTGCATCTCCTCTCGAATGGTCTGCCCGAAGTAGCCAATGAAGGAACCCATCATGCGAGGCTGTTGGATTCTGGTGGAGGAAGGAATTGTTAGGACATGGAAGGAGATTTAGGAATACAGGTATTGGGTGTGTTATCTCCTGCTGTAAAAACCTACGCATATGTTACTGTGCCAAGTGTAGCTAAGCATTAAGTTTTAATTACTGCATAAGGTCTCCATTATTTTTGCCAAGGACAATTTTTTGAGCCAAGCATAGCGTTAGTGTCTAGCTAAGCATTAATAATGATAGGCGTCACATTGCTAGGCCCTCTTCGTATTTTGCCATGGACTTCTCGAGCGTCAAGCATTAGCGTCTAAAATAACTAAACACCACTTTTTAGCGATCGAAGGCCTATAAAATATGTCCTGGTTTTATTCAGAATATCCGGATATGAATGACTATTGTAGAATTTGTTTGATTTGGAATGAAATGACAAAAATATCAACAAATCAGATATTTAGTTTCTCATAAAAATAAACTTTAGTAAAAAAAAACGTAGTGCGAAGATTAGGTATCTAGTACGTACCGTTGCAGAAAGAATAAAGACAGACAATAAATCAAGTATTATACAATAACTGTATAATATTTATTGACACTTAAGCTGATAAGTGCTCATATTGTTGCTTGTATCACCATGCAATACTAATTGTAAATAGTTGTACAGTCACGTACAAAATGACATTAACAGTATTTGTTACAATCCTAGACTAAACCAATGGCTTAAACGTTAGTCAAATGTCGAAAACAAGTTTAAAATGATCAAGTTTGGCTTAATTTTACGAATGTCAGTGACAATTCCACCACTCGTTCGGGTAGCGTTTAAAATTTTAAATCCTATTCGTATAAGGAGGCTGAGGATAGAAAATATGAGATACGAAATCTATAGACATCTGAAATTCATACCAATCAAAATTAATTTAAAATGTTGTTGTAAAATTTTTACACACGACTGTACAGATTTCTTTACTTTCAACACATAAGTGTGTTATCTTATCTGTAAAAATATTGAAGATAATATCCATTTAAACTACTGTGTAATAATAACTCATAATACGATTAGAGCTAATGTCGATTGCCATGATAAGACTCGTCTCGTCATAATAGGTATTATGTCAATCAGATTGTAAATCATTATTCATCTCTAGGTGATAACATATTTGATCTTAAGTTTTACTCTTCTAAATTATTGTTTTAATCAGTTTGTTTTCTGTACCCAATGTTGCTAACAAAAACAGCATTAGGTCAATGTTTAAAAGACATTATTATATTATCCTGTTATAACTCTTATTTGTTTAAATATTTATATTATCTAGATTTTGTTTAATTGTGCAATTGATGATAAGAATGTCTTCGTTGAAATGTGTTAGGTAAGTTATTCGATGATTTCATCTGACATCTGCAACATTTGGAGAAAAAAAAAGCAGGAAAATCCACTATTATTCATGTTTCTTTCAAAAGCAATTGTCGATAAAGCTTGCCAAAAAATGTCAGACAGTGAGACTACACGTCCTTGACATCATTTCAATATGATTAAAATACAATCCGAATAAAAATAACTTGTCCTTGGTCGTATTGGGAAAAACAAGTCTTGGCGGCTTTAGGCAATTTTTCTCTGTAGTAAATAGGTATCATAAAATGCTGAATACGAGAGAAACTAACATCGTCAATCACTTGGTGAATAATATAGAAAAAAAGGTTGGACTTCTGCCAAAAACAAAATGTAAGAAGCCATACTTACTGTTACCTAACATTTGCTACGTCTGTCTATCCTACTTACTCAACGATGAATGTTCACCAGTTTTGTTAGAAGTCACATTATACTTAAAAGTACTTTCCTCAAGGAAACCAAAGTAAACCATTTAGCATGAATATGAAACACTTTTACTTATATACTTTTAACCCGTCGAGCGTCCGCGCTCCTTATGCATTTCCTTATCCTTATGCATGCAAGAAAATGCATTTATTTGGCCATTGCCAAACGAAAACAAGGATCATTACAATAGAAATAAAACAAATACAATCAAAATAAAAACAAAACATTAATAATACATTTTATAAAAGAGAAAGCAGCATGGAGCATTTTTTCTTATGATCCACCGGGTGCTCATAAGGACGCTCGAGGTGTTAATAATAAACCTATGTATAATAGCCGTGTATATTTTACGTATCAAAGTTGTATAAAGATCGCATAGAATACTATTGTCTAAACCAATCATTAAAAAGTGAATTTGAAAATCTTCTAAAGTATCAAAAACGAGCATGTTCATTTGACATCCAGAGATTAGTAAGTACATAAAAAAAAACAATCTCATCAGTTTGGAAGGGAAAACACGATAGTGTAAATAAAAGGATGGGGAAAACCGCAAAACAAGTTAGCTGGAATCGTTTCGCGTTTCAGTAGCATTAGTCACAAACATTTAGTACAGTATGACAATACGTATGGTACGAAGTACACAGGAAGAAGTATTGATTATGGGCAGTTCACGGTGTGCCATTGTAGTACATTAACATAGTACACACATACTCATTGCATACTCTAATGTAATATTAGTTCTACACGTTCAAACTGAGCAGATAACGCATTGAGTCGCCCTGAATCATATTACAATGCTGAATATACTTTCAATATTATGTTATTGTGAAAACTTTATTAATATTTTATTCTTATCATATAACCAGTTATATTATGGCTAGGGCTATATAGAAATTAATTTTGTATTGTATTCGAAATAAGAAAAAAAACTGTAATAAGAATGTGTGCCCTCTTTTGAATGTGTACGTATGAAAGTTCAGAGAGTTCAGAGAAAAAAAAAGTATGCGTCCGTGTCTTTGTCATAATTTAATAAAACGTGTCAATTTGATTCCATGAGAACAAAGTGCGTGTAAATTTTGAGAGACAGTAAGTAATTTATGTTAGAAGAATCGACTTTAGACTTTGTACCCGTAACGTAAGGTGCAAAGTCCAACGGTTGAGGCATTTATTTTTGGTAAAGTAAATATTACGCTACATATTTCGCATATTTTGAACATATCCTAAAAGATGATGCTATGCTATTTTTTCTTGGAAAACCTCACCCATATTAGGCCAGAAAATTCCACCAAAACCAAATTCTTGTAATATAATAGGTATTACTATTTTGTTCGTATAAATAGGGTAGTTTCCTAAATTTTATTTTAATGTCCGTCTGCTACATTATTTTAAAACTTTAGAAACGTATATCTTCTTTTCTAACAAAATTAAATACGTTCGACTATATAATTATTAATTTTTGTAACACGTTATGACGTGAAACAAAACTCAAAAAAAAAATACTTGAAATTAATAATACTGAAACTTAGATGTGAATTTGTAAAATTCACGACACAATTTACGCTCAAG